CAGATAATTGCCTAAGCCCAGGAGTTGGAGGTTGCTGTGAAGCTGTGTGATGCCATGGCACTCTACTGAGGGTGATAAAGTGAGACTCTGTCTCTACAAAATAAATAAATAAAAAATAAAATTTACTTCCTTAGAGGATTCATTCATCCCGATGGCCTCCCTACTGACATCAAGGGTCCTAGGCTCAGAAAAGCCAGTGATCCCATCACAGCTTCTGGATGCTGTTGCACAGTCCACCAAAGTTCCCTTGCTGTCTGCCAGCCCTCCCCTCCCCAGCTTTTTTTCAGCATTATCATCATCAATCTTATAGAAAATGGCTTTTAATTGGGGAAAAGTGAACCAGGAACTTGAGCTCTTTTCAAATTTGGGAAAACCCTTTTCTCACTAGACAATGGTTGCCTTATTACAAAGATGAGACTATAGCCTCTCAAGAATTCCTTTCCAGGTGGCGCCTGTGGCTCAAGGGAGTAGGGCACCGGCCCCATATACCAGAGCTGGTGGGTTCAAACCCGGCCCTGGCCAAAAACTGCGAAAACAAACAAACAAACCCCCCCCCCCCAAAAAACTCCTTTCCGTTCTGATAATTTGGGATCACATGAATTGCCCTAGCCTAAACTGGTCTACCTAGTATTCAGCTATCTCGTGGCTTTGGGAGTACCATGATGCCAGCCAGTGGGACACTGGGTGCTATTTATGTGACATCATGAGGACCAGGCATAAAAAACCAAAGTACCCCCTCCTCCTGAGGTTAGCGTCATTGGGGTTGACTAGTTGTGCCAGTGACTTGGCCCCTGCCACTCATCAGTTCTTCCTCAGTGGCCGGTTGCTCCACTGGGGAACCAAGTGTAGAAGGGGCACGTGACTTCCTCCAGGTGTCTTTGAGCACCTCAGCTAAGGACTACAGTGCTTCTTAAGAGTTCCTAAATCTGGCTTGATGCTCATGCTCAGTGGTTGGGGCACCAGCCACATACACTGGGGCTTGTGGGTTTGAACCTGGCCTGGGCCTGCTAAAAACAATGACAACAAAAAGCCGGGTGTTGTGGCGGGCACCTGTAGTCCCAACTACTTGGGAGGCTGAGACAAGACAATTGCTTGAGCCCAAGAGCCCAAGAGTTTGAGGTTGCTGTGAGATGTGACGCCATGGCACTCTACGGAGGGTAGAGGGCAACATAGTGAGACTCTGTCTCAAAAAAAAAAAAAGTTCCTAAATCAGCCGGGCAGGTGGCTCACAGCTGTAGTCCTAGCACGCTGGGAGGCTGAGGCGGGTGAATTGCTTGAGCTCCCATGTTCAAGACCAGCCTGAGCAAAAGCAAGACCCTCCCTCCCCACGTTTCTAGAAAAACTTATGCAAGAGGATCTCTTGAGCCCATGAATTGGAGGTGCTGTGAGCTGATGGCAACGGCACTCTAACCAGGGTGACTGAGGCTCTGTCTTAAAAAAAAAAGTGTTCCTAAATCACCCCGTTTGGGGTAGCATCTTTTTTTTTTTTGAGACACAGTCTCACTATGTTGCCCTTGGTGGAGTGCTGTGGTGTCACAGCTCAAAGCAACCTCAAACTTTTGGGCTTAAGCAATTCTCTGGCCTCAGACTCCTGAGTAGCTGGAACTACAGGTACCCACCACATTGCCTGGCTGTTTTTTTTTTGTTACAGTTGTCATTATTGTTTAGCTGGCTCAGGTTGAGTTGCAACCCTAGAGCCTTGGTGTATGTGGCTGCCACTGTAACCACTATGCTAGGGCGCCGAGCCGGCATAGCATCTTACATTTCTGGAAAAGGATTCCACTTGGTTCCAATTCACCTCCTCCTACCAGTGACACAACTTTCCTCAGGGTACACTCTAACCAGTGGATCCAGGAACTCAACAGCTTTCTGTAAGCTGTTTCTCCTTAGGCCAGTACACAGAATTAAAGGGAGAGAAGATGGCACTTTCTGGGACCTGCCCAATATATGTGTTCTCTGACACTTATTTGGTTATAAAACAATAAAAGGTGTCAATTTCAAACATGTCCTGATTTTTTTTCCCCTTCAGGTCTTTATAGTTACCCTGTGTTTTAGGGGAAAATGCAAAGAGAAGGTGAGACCAAAAGAGGCAGACACAATTAGCAAGCAATATATTATGTTCCTTGTTATCTTGCAAAGAAATTCAAGTGAAAGCAAGGAAACTCTTTAAATGAGCAACATTAAAAAAAAATAAAAGGCTAGGAAGACTTTAAAATAAAGCTGGAACTTTTCAATGAATGTAATTTGATGAAACTTGGAAGGCATTTAGAATCAAGTTTTTATCCTCTGCCCTAGAAGCTTATTGAATTCCCTCAAAACAATATAAACATGAAGACATTCACTGCAGTATTTTTATAATAGTGAAGGCCTCAAACAAACTTACTGCTCAATAATAAGGAAATGGTCAAGTAAATCGGCTCACTTACCCTTTTCCTCCTTTCCTACCAGTAGGACCAACCCCTCTGCTTCCTAACTCAGCATCAAGAATGAGCCCTTGGCTCAGTGCCTGTAGCTCAGTGACTAAGGTACCAGCCACATACACCAGAGCTGGCAGGTACAAATCCAGCCCAGGCCTGCCAAACAATGACAACTACAACCAAAGGAAAAAAAAAAAGCCGGTGTTGTGGCTGAAATAACTTAGGGGACCTGGAAAAAGACTCAGACCCCTACTTAGGTTAATTAATTGGTATTTTACCTGCTGCAGGGGCTGCTGCTCTGAGAGACAGTCAGCACCCAGTGAGAGTGTGAGTTACCTTTTATAGGCTTTGTGTAAGCATATTACTGAAGTGAAACGTGGCTGGTTAAGGGGGGTTACAACTCAGGTAGTCAGAGATACAGCAATGGAACAATAATTAATAGTTTCAGTTGACAATGGACACATTTCATATCACAATGGTTATGGTTATACAACAGTAATTAATCAAGTCTCAGTGAGTTTTCCACCATTGTTCATCTACTGAGAACTTTGGGGTTTTGTGAAACTTGGGACTTTTTTTCCTTGTACCTGAAGCTTGTTCTTGGCAACCCTAGGAGGAAGAAGGGGGCCTGGGAATGTGTTCTCGGCCACCCTGGGGGGAGGAGGGACTTGCCTTGTTCCTGGAATCGACTCTGGGGGGAGAAGGGAGGAGGGAAATGGGCTGGAAAGGGCGGGAGGGGGGGAACAGGTGAGGGCTGGGGAACAGGAGTGGGTAGGGGAAAGAGGGCTGGGTTACAACATGGCGGGCACCTGTAGTCCCAGCTGCTTGGGAGGCTGAGGCAAGAGAATCCCTTAAGCCCAAGAGTTGGAAGTTGCTGTGAGCTGTGATGCTACAGCACTCTACCCAGGGCGACAGCTTGAGACTCTCTCAAAAAAACAAATAAAAAAAAGAATGAGGCCCTCCTTTCCCACTCAGAGAAAGCTCCAAGATGACTGAGGTGTGCAAACCATGACTGTGAGGATCTTTAGTGGTAGGTAGAAGTCTCATTGGGAGATGAAGGCAAAGCTGTGGTTTTAGCTGCTTCTTAGCTTTGTGCACATGCATATGGTCCTGAACCCAACATGGAATTCAGGAAGTTTAGATCCCAGATCCATCTCCGCTATTGGCTATGAGCTACCTAAGGTCTGTAAAAGAGAAGGGAACTTGGATTCAAGCTCTCAGATTCCCTTACTGATTTTTTTTTTTTTTTTTTTGAGACAGTGCCCTGAGCAGAGTGCCGTGGCGTCACAGCTCACAGCAACCTCCAACTCTTGGGCTTAGGTGATTCTCTTGCCTCAGCCTCCCAAGTAGCCAGGACTACAGGTTCCTGCCACAATGCCCAGCTATTTTCTTCTTACAGTTGTCATTATTGTTTAGCTGGCCTGGGCCAGGCTCAAACCCCCCAGCCTTGGTGCATGTGGCTGGTGCTGTAACCACTGTGCTACAGGCACTGATTTGCATCACTCCTGACTAAAAACTTCCAAAGACTTCCCCCAATTTCCCAATACCGCCATCCACAATTGGGCTTAGTCCTACCTTGTAGCTTTTCTCACTCTCCAGACACAGGCTACCCTCCGTCTTGTCCAATGGCTTTCACACATGTTTTGCCTGCAAGTATCTCCTTCCTGACACTTGGCTGTGCTATTCAGCTGACCTTGTGATCTCAGATGTTATTTCCTCATAGACTTCCTAGACTGCCCCCTCCCATCCCAGGCTACTACATAGGCTTTGGGCTCCTATATATTCTTTTCATAGCATTTACCATAATTTAGATATATGTGAAATTAGGTAATGCTGGCCTCTCAGACTACAGAGTGCATGAACATGTTCATTACTATACTCTAAACGCAGTATTTTTCAATTAAACATACTCATGTTATTCAAGATAATCCTCTTGACAAGAAAGGACAGATTGAAAGTAGCCCAGAGTTTAGCATTATGGCCTGTTTAATCTTCACTGGACATGTTCTTTTTTTTAAAAAAAGGGCTTGAACTATTTATTTTTTTAATGGAAAAGACTGCTACTGTGACTAGATGAAATGAAAATGACACTATTCATACCTGGTAGTGGTTAGTGGGAGGAAATGCTGGCCTTTGAAAAGGTACACACAGCAGATACAGCAAGAGCATATAAAAAGACCTGACCTGCATTTGAATCCTGGCTGTCGCTTCCTAGCTGTGCCTCCTCTGGCAGAGGTTTTTAACTTCTCTCAGTATAAGGTTCCTCATTAACAGGGAATGACTAACATTTACTCTATAAAGTTATTGCTAGAATTAAGTGAGATAACTGGTATAAAAAAGTATAAGGCACAATACCTGACATATAGGGAGCACTCAATAGTAAGTATTAGCTATTATTAGTTCTTATAATGTTAACAATAAATTCTCTTCTTTATACGCACTGTGGTCCCTCTCTGGGTTGTTTATGTGGAAATGCAAAGAAATAACAGAAGGCTACGGCCTAGTCCCTGTTCTCCAGGAGCCAAATCTGGGCGATTTTGCACGAACCACAAATCATGTGTTAAGGTAGGAAAGAACTCCACAAAGTGTCTCACGCTTCATTTAATCTGAAGATACAGGCTCTCCGTCTTCAGATATAAATTATTTATAACATTACAGAACAGGCAGCGTATTCGACAATTTAAAAACTAAGTAAGTCTACACGGTGTTAATTGCTGGCAACAGTCCTCCCAATCTGTTTTTTTAAAAAAGTCACCCCTGCCCCCATTTCAGTAGACGTGCACCATGCCATAGAGGAAGGTCCAGAACAGGACGTAGGTGAAGAGACCGCCGATGAGGCCTCCTGTAAAGAGAGGTCTTCGTGACTTAAAATATTTGTTCCACCTCCTTCCCGCCTTAAGAATCAGGAGCAGGGAGAGCAGAACGGAGGCAAGCAGGTAGAAGATGAAGCCGTAGAGGCCGGTGAGGCCAAGGATGCCGGCGGTGGCCCCCGACAGCGCTGACACTGAGGTCCGGCAGTAATCCAGGACAGCGGCGTTGCCCCGCACGGCTGCCTCACTGATGAACGGCGGCCCTTCACGCTTGGCCACCACCGTTGCCATCGCACCCGCCGGGGCTCGGCTTCTCGTTTTATCGCGGAGCTGCGGAGAAAACCAAGTTACAAGTGGCGCCCGAAGCGTGGCGAGTTGGGTTCACGTTGCCCCCTCCCCCTGGAGTTTCCGCGACCTGGCACCACTCCCGGGCTTCAGACCTTCCAAAGACGCCTGGAAGGCTGAAGGCTCAGGCCGGCCAGGGGGCAGCAACACGTCTACATTCCCTGGCCAGATCTGCCCAGTTACCTGGAACACGGCGGCGGTCACTGTCACTTAAGCCTTCTCTCACACAAGCCAGGGTACAGATTCGCGCGGCGCCATCTTGCTCTGAGGGCTGCCGGGAAGGCTCAGTCTGCGCTTGCGCCCAGATCTCGCCCTGCCCCCTCGCGCCTGCGCCGCGGGCACCGGCCGTTCTCTCCCGGCTTTTCTACGCACGCACTGGGATTTCCGAAAGCAGAACATCGCTCCGGCCGGTGATTGGTTGAACGTTCGCTAACTATTCATGAAGGGAGGGGCCGCGCCCGGCTGCCTTTGTTAACCAGAGAGGGCGCGGCCGCCGGGACTCACTGTCGGCTTCACCGTGGGGTACTTGGTTGCCAGACTGGGGTCGAGATGTCCTACGTCCCAGGCCAGCCGGTCACCGCAGTGGTGGTGAGTGCGCTCGTGATGGCTCCTCTTCTTGTCTTGCTCCCACTTCGCAGAGCGGCAAACTGACACCCTTAACTGGCTGACAAAGCATCGAACCCGGGCTCCTGCAGTCCGGCGGCCTCTGTCGGAGCGGGGCTGCATTCTCCCCCAGTCTCGTAGCAGGTGGCTGGGACCCGAGAGCCTCCCGAGACCTTGGACGTCGCCGGAGTGGACTCCTTTCAGCAGACTGGGGTGGGGAGGACGAAGGAGAAAAGGCATCTGTGGGAATCCGGTTAAGCGCTCCCTTCTCAGGCCTCCTTGTTCCCAGCTGGGCAACCACGGGGCGGGGTGCGGGGGGAGGGCGGGCGCCGGCCCGAAGTTCATGAGTCGCAGCCTTTGGAATGAGGAAATGCTTCCTCCGCTCCAGCCGGCGCCGCTGCCCAGAGGAGGGAGTTTGGGGGTGGAGCTGGCCCAAACCTGCCACAGCAGCCCCTCTCCTCTTCCCGTCCAACCTTGCTCCTCGGACCCGCTCGCCGCCCAGCCCAGACAGAATGCTCGAACAACTGGTTCCATTCCTCTCCAAACTTTTCCTGGATCCCCTAGCCCTTGAGACAAAGTTCAGGTTCCCGCTTGGCACTTGAAGCTTGAGGAGACCCATTGGAGTCAGTCTAGGGCCCTGGCCTCTCCCTTGACTAGTCTGGGTGCTGCGTGCTACTAGATTAGGATAAGGGAAGAAGGAGCCTGGGAGTTTGGACCCAGATGCTAGTGTCATAGTTGTATGGGGCCTGGAGACCAACCCCATGGTACAGGTGGGGAAACGATCCCAAAGAAAAGTCCAGCCAATTATAGGAAGCCCTCAGGGAAGACCCAGGTCTCCCAACCCGGGGGAAAATGTGCCTGCTGGGCTTGTAAGGAGTAAAGTGAAAGTCCCAGCCCTGAAGCATTAAAGACTGGCTGTGGTTTCTCAGATGGGTGTGTTGGAGTGCTCCAAGATGGGTGGAGGCAGAGAAGCCACTGATAAAGGTGACACATGAGGGTGAGCTTAGAAGACAAGCTCAGACCCTAGGAAACATTGCAGGACCTGCGGACAGCTAGGCGTCACCCTGTCTGCACCAGCCTGACTTTTCTAGATCCCTAGCTGCCTGAGAGAGGGGGGGCCAAGTTTGTTAAAAGAGGGTAAGCCGCAGGGAGTCACCTTGCTGCCTAACCTTATGTAGAAATTCAGGACTGGGCCCTGTCTCTTAGCCCAAGGGCCTGTACTTACTATGGGGGTGGGTGCACAGTTAAGTTTTGGCAGAGGTGGAGCAGGCCTGGAAGAACTCACACTTTTGGGCATGAGGATCCAGGTGCAGTGGGCCTCAGAGATCATACCTCCTGCTCCTCACCCTCCTGCCTTGGCTGGTCACAGGGCCTTCCTCAAAGCTTTAGGACCAAGGTCCCCCAATTCTTCTAACACCAGGAACAGTGGTAGGGTCAAGCTCCTCCCTCTTGTCTTGGATTGGGGATGGGGTGGGGAGGATTCCTCCACAGTCCCTGCCCTCTCCCATGTAATTACCATTTTGGCCACTCCTCTGAACTTTGGCTCCATAGATCTATCTGGACACCCACCTGTATGGCTCCAGGCACTCCAGCTCAACCTGCGCCTCCTCCTCCTGGGTCCCCATCTGAGAGATGGTGTGTCCAGCCAGGCCAGGTGACCAAGTACTCCTTTTCTAAGAGCAGTCCCCAAGTCTGCTGACTGTAATTTCCAAGTGGCTCATGTCCCCTGGTCTCCATAATCCCACCTCTGGGAGATGTTGGTTCCCCTACCAACTACTTCAGTGGTAGCCATGCCCTGCCCTACTCCCCGAGTCCTGAGGACTCTAGGTCAGGTGGCCATGCTACTTGTCATCTCCTCAAGGCCTGGAGCAAAAGATCCCTTCTTTGTGAAGGCTCTTCGGGTCTAGATCAAGTTACCTTTTGCTTTTTTCTCCCCTATTCCTGCTAAAACTCTCAACTTTTGGAGTCATGAGGTCTGACTCCCAGTATCTGGTGATGGGTGGGTGCTTGCTGAGAGCTTTGAAAGGAGCCAGGCACAGCTGGGACCATAGACCCAGAGCATGGTGGGAGATCCCTAGAACATTCCTGTCTCCTACACTGCACAAGAACAGGGCTTGGGGCTAAGGGGGACCTTCCATTCCCTCCCATACACCTTCTCTTCTAGGACCAGTCTCATGGGCCTACATCCCACAGCCTTCTTGATCAATTCCCATCCTCACACGTTCAACCTTATTTCACTTCTCAGTTCTGCATCCTGCACTGTACACTTTGGTCTCACAAACACAAATCCACAGCGCCTTTAAGCCTTTGCTCTTGTTCCTTTGGCCAGCAAGCCTATTCTCTCTTTTCTGCATAAATTTGATCTGTTTTTCCTGAGTGCCTCCTGTCTCGCCCTTGACAGGGCTAGCTCAGCAATCTGAGCTGCCCCAGCAAGGTGCCTGCTTTGCAGGCCTGACCCTCCTTGTTCTGTGTGGACACCCCCTGGGAACTGGGCCTCTTATCCTTGGAAACCATAGCACCCTGGTTCTTGGGCCAGGAGGGGCTTAAAGCACATGTTGACTTAAGGCTGGTGCTTGAAACTAAAATGATATGGGGGGGAGGGACAGTAGAGGGGGCTCAGTGCCTGTAGCACAGTGGTTATGGCACCAGCCACATACACCAAGGGTGGAAGGTTTGAGCCCGGCCCTGACCAGCTAAACAACTGCAACAAAAAAATAGCTGGGCATTGTGGTGGGTGCCTGTAGTCTAGCTACCTGGGAGGCTGAGGCAAGAGAATTGCTTAAGCCCAAGAGTTGGAGGTTGCTGTGAGCTGTAACACCACAGCACTCTACCAAGGGCAACATAGTGAGACTCTGTCTCAAAAACAAGCAAACAAAACAAACAATGAGGGAAATGGCTGAAGACAGAGAGAGGGCTATGTGGGTAGGTCAATGTAGCCAATTTCTGAGTTCCAATCCCCACCCCCTTGGCATGGCTCTGAGCTGGCCCAGCAGTCTGCGGTTGCTGCTGGGGACACAGACCAGATTCATTCTCCACCCACCCACCTTCCCCACAACTTGCTTTTTTCTTTGCCAGCAAAGAGTTGAAATTCACAAACTGCGTCAAGGTGAGAACTTAATCCTGGGCTTCAGCATTGGAGGCGGAATTGACCAGGATCCGTCCCAGAATCCCTTCTCAGAAGATAAGACAGACAAGGTGAGGGGAGACTAGGGTCTTGGGACCTCTCCATGGGGCACAGAGGCCTGAGATGGTGGGTCTCTGCTTCCTTGTCCTGCATAGATGATGAAGACATCATCCCTCTGAAACAATGCAAAGAAGGTTCAAGAAATGATCTCATGGGAATAAGTAGGGGTGCAGGTGAGGAGTGGGCCTCCCAGCCCTAGGAAGTCCTGCTCAGTCAGAGCACAGGAGGAGCAGAAGATGGCTGTCAGCAGGGGCTGGTACATTGTGAGGCAGCCATGCTCTCCCCCCACTATCTGGGCACAGCTTGTACCAGCCGTGTGCACTGGGGAGAGGCCAGGGACAAGGACAGCAGGACAGCTGAGATTGTCCCATGCTGAGTTCTACTCTGTGGATTAGGAACCAATCCAGTGAGCGCAGGGGCTGACCTGGGCTGCTTCTTTCCAGGGCATTTACGTCACACGGGTGTCTGAAGGAGGCCCTGCTGAAATTGCTGGGTTGCAGATTGGGGACAAGATCATGCAGGTAACAGGTCTCCCAAAGGAGGACAAGGTTTGGGCCAGATGGTCTGAAGCACGTGGTAGGGTTGGGGGTGCCCATGCTTCCCAGCTGGGAGAGATTCACCCTGCTGGTCTTACCCCCAGAGGCAGGTAGCTTTCTCTCCTGTGTCTCAGCTGTCGTGCTTAGTGTCACTTAGCCCTGGGATGTCAGCTTGGGGACCTGCTGGGTGGCCCAGGCTCCCCAAAGTCCTCTGCTTCCAGATACGAGGGTGGGGAGTTAAGGTGGGCTGTGTTCTCTCCTTGGGCCAGGTGAACGGCTGGGACATGACCATGGTCACACATGACCAGGCCCGGAAGCGGCTCACCAAGCGTTCAGAGGAGGTGGTGCGACTGCTGGTGACACGGCAGTCACTGCAGAAGGCTGTGCAGCAGTCCATGCTGTCCTAGCAGCCCTCCATCGTCTGTGCCTGCCTGCTTGCCTATTTGTACAGTGACATCACTTCCACACTGTCTGCCTCTCATCCTGGCTTCTAAGTGCTGGGCCCCAGCTCAGAAGGGCAACCACTGACCCCAGAGGCCTGACCCAATTCTACTTCCCCTCTTCCGACTTTGGGACCAGCTCCCTTCCTTGGACACTGAGGACTGGATACAGGGCATGGGGCTGAGTGGTAGCCAGTCTGCAGTGACCAAAGGCTCGGTCTCCAGACTCTGCTGCTTGGCCACAGCAATGCCCAGGCAAGGGGGAAACACCATTTCCTGGGAGCCACCAATGCTGGGAAATGCCAGGCGGGCTGGCATTTCCTGCTTTGCCCTGCCCCATACTGCCTGCGCCCCCTCCGCAGTACCTGTGCCCTCTGCTTTTCCCTGTGTTGCCCAGTGGGGAACAGGACACACACACTGCCAGGGGCATGACAGTTTGCCTGGGTGGAAGCCAGGCAGGCTCCCTGTTCACCTCTATTCTCCCAAAGGCTGCTGGCCTCCCGAGGGTTTGCTTGCTTACAGGATTTAGAGAGGTTCAAGGCTGACATTTCAGCACAGCTCTCAGGATTGCTATTTTCCTCTATGCCTGTGGGTTTAACTTTTGTATTTTTTTAATCACAACTTTGATATAAAATTTATCTTACTTTTTGGAGATGCCAGTCCTACTTTTGAATGTTGCTTCCTAATTCACGTTTAAGAACAGCTGCTCTTACCAAGTGTACAAGCCTTACCTTGTTAACTGTGGAAATGGGGCAGCAGCACGTGTCTCTTACCCCATGTTGTGTGTACAATAAACAATGCTGGAATTCACAAGGGCTTTTTGCTGAGGCACGTAGGTGGGATATTTGGGGTGGAGGGGCACTCTGGGGCGAAAGTTCGGGTTTTATGGCTGGCTACCTGTCTTCTGCTGTTCTGTGACAAAGCCTAACTATTCCCAGGCCCAGCTGCCCTGAAAGTCTGAGGCTGGTGGAGCCTTAGAAGCCTCACTGCTCTCTGCAAGACCACATCTGTGGGAGTGTCTGGGAGCACCTTCACTGCAGCTGAAGTGGGAAGCCTGGGGTATATGTGGTTTCTTGGGTATCACTGTGAAGCCCCTAAGTACCCCAACTTCCCCATGCAACCTAGGTCTAGCTCCTATCCAGGATGGGCCTTGTGGACACCCACGGGTTCATGGGAAAAATACCTGTCCCTAAGGCTATGTAAATGTGTTCTGTGTACAGCCAGGGGTGCAACCCTAAATGACCCCTGGGGCTGAGATCTGGCCAGGAGGGGGTGAGCCCAAGAGTACCTGGGCCTCTACCTACCAGGTCTGGGAAGGTGCTGCCACTCCAAGACCTGCTTAGCATTGCCAAATCAGATTTTTAAAGAAAAGTCAAGAATTGGAAATGTCCCATATTTAAAGTATGACACCTAATAACACATTCTGTGAAGAATCACTGGGTGACCCAAATAAAACAGGTCAGTGGGTTTGGTCAGGCTGCCATCTTTGCTGTATGGTGACAAGACCTTGGATTCCTGGTTATTTGTTACAACTGGACAGAGGAAGACTGGATGAGACCCCAGTGCCCTTCCTCCCAGTGGTGGTTTTCTTTTAAAAACCTCATTGAGGCCTCATCCACATCCACATTGTGAGTGACATCCACCAGTAAGGGCAAAGACATGGTACCTGTGAGACCTACCTGGCCCTGGGTGGGCAGGTGTCTTCCACTACCAAAGAAGGCTTCCCAGCGAAGTGCAATGTCAGCACGCAGCCACCTCACGGCAGTTCCCTTCACAACCCTATGCACTTCCTCACACCAGTGAGCAAGGCCATCTCCCTAAGCCCCAAGGACTTGGTTCGGA